TGACCAGATGCCCCACCAGCCGGGGCCCCCGGGAGGGCGTCCTGCCAGCTGACTGGCAGCGAGGCCACTGGCAGAGGACGGGCAGTGACAGGAAGCGTGAGAAGCTGTGCCGTCCCCTGACGCTCCTCTGGGCCTCTGCCCATGGGGGCCAAGGTGGGCATCTCCTCTCGACCCTCGGGGGCCGCTGCTGGGAGTGCAGGAGCCCCAGGGGTTCAGATTCTGGGTGTGAGGGCACATAAAAATGGGGTCCTCGCCCGGCCGACGGGGCTCAGAGGTTGAGCGTCGACCTATGAACCAGGAGGTCACAGTTCGATTCCCCGTCAGGGCACGTGCCCGGGTTGTGGGCTTCATCCCGGATGTGAGATGAGCAGGAGGCAGTCGATCAATGATTCTCTCATCATTGATGTTTCTATCTCTCTCTCTTCCTCTCCCCTCCTCTCTAAAATCAATAAAAGTATTTAAAAATAAAATAAAATAAAATTGAGGTCCTCGCCCTCACTGGTGTTCTCAGTGGTAAGAGCGCAGCCCTCACACCAAAGGGTCTCGGGTTGGAGTCCTGGTCAAGGGCACGCACCTGGGTTGCAGGTCCACTCCCGCCCCCGGTTGGGGTGCGCACAGAAGGCAGCCATTCGATGTTCTCTCTTCCCTTCCCTCGCTCCTTCTCTCCCTCCTCCCTCCCTCTCCCGCCTCTCTCTCTGAAAATCCCCTCGGGCGGGCGGGCGAGGATTAAAGAACAAGGAGAGGTCCTCAATTGCCTGCCTGTCAGTCAGTGTGGAGCCCAGGTCCTGCATGGGCTTCGGCCGGCCCGGGGCTGACTCCCTGGCTGCAGTGGGGTCTGGGGGGGCCGGGATAGGGGGTGGTGCCCAAGGACCGGGCTGCTCTCTGCCAACAGCGCTCCTGGGCGCTGCAGCCACCAGGGAGCCGAGCCTGAACCTCATGGCAAACCCAGCTCCAAGGACCGGCCACCCTTGTCCCAGGACAGCCAGCCGTCCCAGGGGGACATCGGGAGGGGCTGCCAGGCCCACGCCCAGGGCAGTGGCCAGCGTCTCCGTGACCTTCCCCACTAGAGGCCTTGTCCTCCTCACCAGTCCCGGGCCCAGCCTCCGACTCACACATGACAGAAAGCAACACACCCGTACACACATACACACATACACACACACACACACACACACACACACCTCTGCCTGTATACACACCCCATCCACACGCCTGGCCGCACACACACCCAACCACATGCCTGGCTGCACACACACACCATCCCCATGCCTATCTGCACACACACACCATCCCCATGCCTGTCCGCACACACATACCATCTACACGCCTGGCTGTACTCACACACCATCCCCACGCCTCGCTGGACACACACACCATCCCCATGCCTGTCTGCACACACACATACACACACACACACACACATATACACACCATACACAC